TTGTGTGTGTGTGTGTGTGTGTGTGTGTGTGTGTGTGTGGTGTGTGTGTGTGTGTGTGTTGTGTTGTGTGTGTGTGTGTGTGTGTGTGTGTTTTGTGTGTGTGCATGCTGTTTGATCACCCAGGTGCCTCTGGATGCAGGTGCAGGTCAAGAAATGCTGCCAAGTGGTGTGGATTAATGATGTGGGTTATTATATGATATTAACAAATTATATATTTTTATACAATTGATTCGGGGAAATCCCCATTTTATGATGGTATTTGTGTTTACGATGTCCAATTAGGTTAATGTATTAGGTAGGCCATTGAAGCCCCGACTTTGTGTTGTTTTGCCTCCTTTTGCTTATCACGGCATCCTCACAGACTAAAACCAAATGTCATCTCTTCACCAAAAACAAAAACAATATTTTACTGACTACTTTTAAATTGAAGAAATGATATCCTCGGAAATGTTGACAGTCCCTTAGCAACGAGGAAAAAGTTTCTGGAAAAAGCCAACATTGTTTTTCCAGTATTCTAAATGCAATTGTTCAATGCTTTGAGCACCACAGCATTGGATAACAAAACAACACTAGTATTATTGCATACCACAAAATGGAAGTAGAAAGATATGTTAATTGTGGTATTTTTGGATGGAACCAGACCACCTTAAAAGGGGCCCTTATTGTGCTTATCTTGTCTGTTGTTTTCCATTTTTCCTGCCAGTGTGTTATATGTGTTTGTGCATTTTAAGTCTGCAAAGGCTAAAATCCCAAAAGTTCACGCCAGGAGCCGAGTTTCTCTCCTACACACTTCCCCTGCCTGAAGCGCCTCCATTGTTTTTTTAATTTTTGTTTTTCCAATGTATTGAAAATGTTAAATGTTGGTAGTCATTCCCATGAATAATGAACATCGCACTGTAACTCAGCTTCTATTGGCTAGTGCTACAAACATTGTACGTGTACGGCTAAGGGGCGGACTCTCTAAGAGCGGTTGAAAATTCAAAACCAGAGTCGACCAGCTAACAATCAGCAGCACACCGAGCCCTTCTGGGTTTTCAGACCAGAGGGGTGAAATAAAATGCAGCACAAGGCAGTAGTGCTTCAGACCTTTTTGAAATTAAAGCATGGAGACATGGTCACAGTCACGAGGCACAAAATACAAAATATGAACCTGAAAAATGGAGTAATAATAGGGCCTTTAATGTTGGCTGAGGTATGAATGAGGACTTAAAAGCGTTGTGCGCCCTCAGCCAAATACAGCGAGTTCAAGACCAACTCAGTCCAAAACCCCTCCACTTTTGAACCTTTGAGCGCAAAATAGTGTTTTTCTGCTCAGTTTGCAGAATCGTGGAAGCGGGGACAACAAAGCGGAGTGGGATAACGCTAGTAATCATGTGTGCTTGTTGAAAGAGAAGCACGGTAACTTGCCCTAAATTGATGCTCCTGATCTTTGGCCTCAATCAAAACCAACAATACAAGCGATCAGTACCCATTTGAATTTAATCCTGCACAGTGATTCTTCTAAAGGCTGGTCAATATCTAATTAAACCTGCAACTGTTTGGTATCTATATCTGGTCTGTATGTAGAATTATTCTCCTACATCCCCTTATTTTCCTGGGAGAGACGTGCTGTAATTACACACTTTGTTTGATTGGCGTATCCAATGGTAATAAGGAGTATTATTTCATTATATCACATCGAGATTGAATACCTGAGGGTTCTACGAGCGTAAGGGCATAGAAACACATGAAGGTCCACGCACATGCTCCCCAACTCCGGCCCCCTGCTCCGCTCCCCTCTGCATTTAGCTAAAGCTCTCCTTCAGACTGCATATTTCTGTTTTTTGTCGGTTTTTATTGCAAGCAGTAAACCCCTCCACGACTGTTTCCCACAGAACTGCCCCCCTGCAATCCCTCTTGCTTCATTTTCTCATTATAGCGGGGTGGACAGAGGGAGGAGAGGGGGAGAAAGAGGAAAGGAAGGGGAACAGAGACCAGAAACTGCTCTCTTATCAGTCTTTTATTTTTACCTCAAATGACCTGCAGGATCAGCCTATTAAAAACCAAAGAGGAACCATCATTTCTGGTAAACTGGCCTCTGGAGGAAAAGGGCACAGTCAACACAGCTCAGTGGCCCATGCCCGGCACTTTTTGTTGGTAAGCCCCATGCCATCCTGTGCCATGCCGTGCACTCTTCCTGTGGCCCGTACCCCGCCTGACCCTTTAATGCCTTGTGTGCCAAGGCCACCAGGTTTACCCGGAGTTCACCGGTCTCGCATGGCACACCATGGAATGCCCCTTGCCCGTCTCCACTTTTTGCCTCCTCCCATTGTGGCCGCCATCAAATAATCTCTCCACTAATGACTTAATTGATTAATGTATTCAGTTTTAAAATGGGTCCACTTACATTATTGTCACTGCAAAACCATAAAAACAGCACAGCGCAGTCTGCACTTTCATTTGATTTGATGCCTGCAGTGATGGAAAAAAGTACTCTTGTCACCAAAAAGTAATAAAAACAACACTATTTCATAATCTCAACTAGAATTATCAGCAACAAAAGCTCAGCTTCAAAAATAAACATATGGATTAAAATGATCCCAAGGATAGATGTATTATTAAAAGTATCAGATTGTTAATATACAGAAAGTCTCCAAATTAGCGCTTTGGGCCCCTCAAAAAGGGAGGGTCAAATAAATCTGAGATGTGGTGATGATTAATGGGAGATTTGATAGAAAGATATCATGAAACCATTAAAAAGTTCTGACTCTCAAATTGATAGATGTGGTGGACTAAATGGTAACAATATGTTCCCTCTTGACCTAGGAAGGGACGTTTTTACCATAGCAAGAAAGTACATTAAGAAGTAATACCAAAAATATATTACTTTGAGTAAATTACTTTGCTAACATTCCACAATGGAGATACAGGCAATACAACTTAGCTGTTTGTCTAGGCATTCCCTTTTTAAATCCCTTAAAGGTATTTCTTATTTTTCCCATCATCCTTTGTGTATTTCCCCTGCCTAACTGTAGCCCCCTTGTATGAGGTTAACTGGCCATAAAGAAACTTCTCAGCCCACACACATACACACACCACACGATATCCCATTCATCTAATTTAAGCAAGATTTGCCCCTAAAACTTTTAATTGTTTTGGGGTTTCCCCATATCATGATGTGGCCCATTTTATCGGCAATACATACTGATTCTGTCATTTAGTCTGAGGTGTACGCAGCTCTGAATGCTCCAGCTAATATTTAGGTCAAAATATAATAAAAGTTAGAATGCATGTCTACTCCTCTACATGGGTGTTTCCATCATACCAGAAAGTTTGGCTCTTTGCTGACAGACTGATTTTAAGTCCCATCACCTGCTCTTTGCAACGGGAAAAGATCAGGAGGGTGAAGAGGCCTGTGAAAGATGGAGAATGAGAGAAAAGGGGGGGGAGAAAGGGAGAGACAATATAAACAGGACGGGCCCCTAGAAAGTGCAGGAAGGGGGAGGGATGGAGGAGGGGGTGGAATCATCTGACAGATTTTCAGAAAGATGGAGCAGAGAGACGGACATATGGAAGAAGTCTCTGCCTGCTAGTTTCTGCACTCTCTCCATCTGTTGATCTCTCCCATCACAGCCACCTTCCTCATTCTCCATTCAGCCCTCCTCTCTTTAAACCCAGCCTCTAAACTCACTTCCGCACAGCCTCACCCTCTGACCATCCACCCTGACCCACCCCCGACCTTCTACACACTCGGTGCACCCTAACCTTAAGGCTTTGTTTTGAAAAGGCTCTGTAGCGCCCCAGGCTTAGTGATGTTCATTTTGTGAGAGTGTGTGTCTCTGATAACTGTGTGTATAGGTGTGTTGTGTGTGTGTGTGTGTGTATGTGGGTGTGCCGTGTGTGTGTGTGTGTGTGTGTGTGTGTGTGTGTGTGTGTGGTGTGTGTGTGTGTGTGGTTGTGTGTGTGTGTGTGTGTGGTGTGTGTGTGTGTGTGTGTAGTGTGTGTGTGTGTGTGTTGTGTGTGTGTGTGTGTGTGTGTGTGTGTGTGTGTGTGTGTGTGTGTGTGTGTGGTGTGGGTGTGTGTGTGTGTGTGTGTGTGTGTGTGTGTGTGTGTGTGTGTGTGTGTGTGTGTGTGTGTGTGTGTGTGTGTGTGATGGCAGGGGGTGGTTGCTGTCAGTGTGGGGGTTGGTGGGCTCCTCAGTATGGTTGTGAGTGCCGGGTAGTGTTTTGAAAGGGGGCATTGTTCAACAGGTCTCGCTCTGTTTGGATTCGCAGGCCAAATGTTTGCGTGTTAAAGAATGCAGATAGCTGGGTTGCTACGAAGGTGTTTCACTTTCCAAGAATGACACGTCGTTTTTCTTAACCC